CTCTTCTAAACGCCTTGAAATTGGCCTCTGTCTCTTTAAGAACCACCTTCCACTTCTGTCTCGCCTATTTCGGTGCGAGGGGGCACTCGCAGGGCGCTCGCGGGGGGGAGGGGGGCTGCTATGCTGAAGTTTACTTCGCATCCGAAAATGCATTTCCTCAAAGGTATTTTTAATCTGAAAAGAGCTTCACTGAGTGAGAACTAATGTTGAGAGCTCAGCAGACAGTTAAGTTTCACTTTCACTTTCACCCGAGAGCCTGCATGAGTCATGAGCGGGGTGTGTGGGGAGGGGAGAAGGGAGGGGGAGGGTGCTCTGCCATGAGGAAGTTCGGCTTAAAGACACGTCCCAGAGGCGTTTCTGGTCCCCACCTGTCATTTTGCTCCTCAGCATGGCTTCCTAACAACACTGCAGGATTTATCAAACATGCATGAATGAGTCAGAGCAAGACTTTGGGCATGTTTTTTATGAGAGCATAACATTATAACATGATACAAAACTCAGAAAAGTTGATTTTACATGATACTGCCCCTTTAAAACCAATACCATCATTACCAGAGCTGGTCCACATCAAACTGACAAACCACTCGCCAGGCAAGCGGTCAGCCAACAGGGTCAGCTTGACACCAGTGTGGGTCTTTCATGTGGCCTGGTCCACATGAAAGGTGTTTGGTCTCATGCATGAGTGGGATTAGATTCAAATCTGTATTTTTTAGATGTGGGAAGGTGTTGTGAAATTGTGATCCAAAACAGTATGGTTCATTTAGTTACATGAGATGTAATGCTGTTGATCTGTGTTGGTTTCATTAACTCAGACTTTTGCATGACTGCAATTGCTTTAATCTCTCTACTGACTGTTAGATGATCTTTAGAATGGTTATATGTAAGAGAAACATTAATAAAGAAGTTTTGCTCAGAAATGCTGTAAGAGTGAAGACACAACTGTGAATTTTGCTTCCTCTGTTTACCTAATTTGCAGAGTTGTGTTACATTTATGATCTGCTATTAGACGTGGGATCAGCAGACAAGAATCATCTAAACAAACCTTGTTTCCTGGTCCCACCTGTCTAGTATGGAGGACCAAAATTGTCATAGTCAGAAATAAAAAGCAGAAATATACATATAAATGGATGAATAAATAAACACACTTAAAAAGCACCAATTACATTAAAAAAGAACTTTACCTTATGTTTTATAATTTATTTGACCTTCATATTTATTTTTCCAGCTTAGTTACAATAAATTATATATTTTAGCACATAATTTACATTTTACTGGTTTTGAAATTATTTATTTTTGCAGCTCTACTGTGCATGCTTTTGCTGCATCAGTTTAGCTTAAAGTTTAAAGTTAAGTTTAAAACAAAAGCACAGGTAAATGTTTTCCTCCTTGCCTTTTTTGCCACCTTATTTACATAATGAGGCAGAAATGCATAAGGTAGTGTAAAAGCAAAACATGAAAATAAAGACTTGTAGGAAAGAAATATAAAAAATAATCAAATATAATCATTTAGGAGACACAAATGCATGTACATGTAAAATAAAAAAAAATATTGATTTTTAAAAACATTATATTTTAAATTATTAGTTAGAGAGCGGAGGTGTGGCCAGGACGAGAGAACGTGACAGGCAGCTAGCATTAGCATTATTGATGCTACATGGAGAGTGACCACAGTATCGCAGACAGTTACATCTCTGAATGGTCTGAGGTGGAGGATTTTCACCCCACACCAGCCTCGGACAGAGGAGGAGGAGCGCTCCGACAGCCTGACAGAAAAAAATAAAAGCATACAGCTGCAGCTGCTCACATGATCACTAGTTTAAATCAGGAATAAAAGTGTTGGGTCGTGTTTGACTGAGGTTCGGTTCGCATTCATTTCAACCTCTTTGGATGTTTACCTGTATAAAGAGCCCTAAAAATCCATAAATTTAGCAAAAAATCCTTAC